TACTGTGTATGCGTGTATGAGAGAGAATATGTATGTGCGTGTACGTGTGCATGTGTTTGTCTGTGTGTGTTTGCATACGAGCATGTGTATGTGTGTGTGCATGCGTGTGTGGGTGCCTATGTGCGTGCGTGTGTATGTGTGCGAGTGTGTATGTGTTCTGTGTGTGTGTGCATTTGCTAGTGTACATGTGAGTGAGTACACAGCGTGTGTGTAAACGAGCTGCGTCACACTAAACATGACGTCACGTTAAGGACTACTGCGTCTCGTCATACATGTTGGACTCATACAAAGCCATGTGAGGAAGTGTCTTGCCTTTGGGCACAATCAGCATCTGAGATCTGACAGGAACAAGCTTTGACAGGCACAGAAACCAAGAAAGACTGAAAGTGAGACGTAAAAATATGAGACATTTATGGGAAAAGCATGATACAAACCATGTTATGAATGAGCATGGTCTGAGTACTACCGTCATCAAAAATTTCATAATTTTATAGATTTTGTAAACACCAAAAAGATGAGGGTCCAGGTGGAGAAAAAAGTGTAGGTCAATCTGACAAACATCAGGAAGATACACACAGACGTTCTTTTCTTTATAGGTAGATGGAAAATAAGTTGGCTTTTTGCAACTTTTACTTCAAAGTATGACAAATTATTAAAAAAGGAAGTGATACAGCCAACATACGTTATAGATTATTGGTTAGCGGAGAGACTCATTGGAATTTATTATTTGTGGTAATTGGGCTTTACTTTCACTTATTATTTTGTGAGCATGTTTGAAAAATTATTTGTGCAGATGTCAAACTAAAAATAGTCGAGCTGAAAATAGGTCCAAATCGTTCCAGATGTCGTCCGAGAATTCCTTTCAAAGCCTTGGGATTTCAGCATTCCACAGAGACATAATCTTACTGCACGGTAATTACTACATATTTGTTACATTTGTGACGTTATTCTGGAGTGGTTCTAATAAAAAAGGGATTGTAAAAAGATTTGCCAAGCTATATTCTAGTTTAATCAAGCATTAGTAGTTCAATCTTGAGTGATGAGTTTTTCAGCACCCACAGTTTAGTTTTCATTTGCAAATTCTGCAGCATCTTAGGCACCATTAACCCTCCTGAGAATGCATGCCATAACCACATTCACAATTCAAATGTTGTATTTGATACTGTTTCATTAATACTGTATATATGGGTGTATTCACGGCCCAGAGCGGCTGGACTGCAGACCTCTCGTCTGAAGGCTGAAGACAGGGGCAGAGGGTGACATTGAATAATATCTAAGCAAATACAGCGTGTACCCCTCCCCCGCCTTGGAGCTGCCTCAGTCCTGCATCGCATCTGTCCTCATTCTGCAGCCTGACTCCTGGATCTATATCCCGTCCGTCCGTGGGAGCGGATCCCTCTCTCAATGTGGACCTCCCCGAGGTTTCTCACCTTTTTCCCACTGGGTTTTAAAGTTGTTCCTTGCCGATGCAGGAGGGTCTGTTGGACCCTTGTGAGGGTCTAATAAAAAAGAAGGTGATGATTCAGGATCCTCAACATTCAACAACATTTATTGACATTGGTCATCTGCCCCTTATGGACCAATGTTTTTATCTTTGCATTACTTTTGTTTGAACTGATCTAAGGCAGTTTTTTATTTATGCAAGAATAAATTGAATGGACTGGTTCCTTTCTGAGGAAAAAGTCTTCACAGTTCTGTTTCAAACGATTTAGACTTACGTAATAAAGACTTTTTCTCAACAAATTACCAACATTGTAAATCATCTAAATAGATCAGATTAGATTTAAAAAAAAACGTTATTGATCTAAAAATGGAGAAATTTAAATGCCACATTTGGTATAAATAGGATCACTCAGGTAGTGCAAAAAGACAGGGAAATGTGCAAAACAACAGGCAATGTGTAATATGTTAACAATAATGTACAACGGAAGGTGGTCCCGTGTCTGGGTGCCATGTTGTAAAATATTACTCATCAGAAAGTCGCTGTGAAGTAGTGTCCTGAAACTACATGTACACTCCTGACACTCTCAGGTCCGGGAACCAGCTCCAGCTTGTGGTGCCTAAGGCGAGACTTAAAACCCGGCTTTTAACACTACATGAGTTGTGTGGTCATCTGCGTTGTATGTATTTACGGTTTTAATCTGTTTTATCCAGCTTTATTGATTTATACTAGGGGGAGCTAAGGATACATTTATGTTTAATTTTTTTACTTGTTTGTGCAGCATTTTGGAAACGTGATTGTTGTTGAATATAAATAAAGTGGATTGGATTACATTTGCAAAGCACCATCTGAGACCCGGGCCTCAGCTCAGGAGGCGGGAGATAATAGATGGATCTTATAATAATTCTCATCTACTGATGTCCTACACAGAACGTTCTTCTCCTCTCTGAACGGAAACTCATCTACAGACTCATCAACTGAACCACAACTATTCATGTGATCTTAAAGAATGTGGCCATCTTAGTCATGGTCTATGCCATTAAGAAACCAGCATTACAAATGTCAAGGAATGTTATTTTATTTCAATATTTGTACAGACCTGAAGTAGTACATTGTGCATCAAAAACAGACCTACATTTGTTTTTTGCTGGTACACCAGCTGGTAATAAAAGTGGTGCCTGACAAAGTTTGATCCTTTATATATGTTTATGTTGTGTTTATAGATATATATTCTAGTTAAAAAGTTGAGTTAAACTTTTGGTGGAGGGTATGCCTCTTGACTATAGCCCTGTTTCCACCAGCTCTTCTTCCCCTACACTCTACCGCTACCTTTTTACTCCCTGTTTGGCCCTGGTTCTATCCAGGTCGAGTTGGTGCTAAAGTGTCCTAACTGAAAAAGATTGGCCATAGATATTTTTCCAAACACTGGTTTGTTGTGGGTAGGTTGCAAGATACAGTGCTAGATACTAAAGTGTTATGGAAACACAAACCAGGCAGAGTAGAGCCAAGTCGGCCTGGTGGGGTGGTGGAAATGGGGCTTTTGTTTTTGTTTGTTTTTCCCGGAATAATCCACAAAACAGTGTCAAACTTATCCGTCAAGCCTGGAGACAAGCTAATGACATCACTTGGCTCAGTTATGGCTCACATGTGACTTACTTACCACCTTTCACTACGGTTGTAAGTAAGTCATCTTTATCTTCATAGCGCATTTCACAGACAGAGTCACAATTGTTGTGGGAATTTTTCCTCTGACACTCCACACAGAGATGGGAGTGGAGTAATCATACAGGAGGTGAATTATTATAAAGGTAGGGGAAACCGGAGCACCCGGTGGAAACCGGAGCAGACAGGACCATCATGCACAAACGCCAACCACTTTACCACCATGCCATACTGACGCTCCTTTTTCTGGTTGTGTGTGTGTAAGTGTGTGAGTATGTGTGTGTGTATGTGTGTGTGTGTGCGTGTGTGTGTGTGATTGAGTGCGTGTGAGTGCGTGTGCGTGTATATTATAATTGTGTGTGTGGTCTATAGCAGAGTTACAGTAAGCGACAGTGGGGTTTGTTTCCCGTCAGAACAGTCCCCCCCCCAGCCCAGGAAACCTTGTTTGAAGCTGAGGTACCTAGCTGAGGTATTAAAAAATTAAATCCATGTAAGTTCATGGGTACTCTCAAAAGAGTGTGGTTTGCATTTTTGGCCCCTGACACATCTTTCGCTCAGCTTTTTCAGAAAGAAAAGTGAAAATGCCAATCAGCTCTCAGTATGTAAAAGATCACATGTTTTCTAATAATACCACAATATTCCATTCTTGCCACACTTTCCCTCTCGTTATTATTTATTTTCTTCATTATATCATATACAGTACAGTTTGTATGTACAGTACAGACCAAAAGTTTGGTCTGTAAAAAAAGATTTTAAAAACTCTTGAGATGGGTGGGTGTGTCCAAACTTTTGGTCTGTACAGTATGTAGATCAACTGCTTGCACAAAAAGGATTATATACCTGGACTGAACCCAAACTTGACCAATAGTCTGACTCGTTGCAATTTTAAAATATATATAATTACTAATGGCATTGTCTGCTTGATGTTTATAATTAAATTGAAAGTTGAAAAGTGAATCTAGTCGAAGGAAACTGAAACAAATGTGTCAAGCAATGGAACTGGGTTGAAAACACAAAAACGCTAAATCAAATGAAACATGATCAAATCCTATTTACATTGAAAAGAAAAAGTGTGTTTGCAGGCCATGGTTTGTCTCTTTGTTTATTGTAGTGAGAAGTAGAGTACAGTATATGCAGTATGTTTTCTCAGGATAATCATATTTAAAATCATGTTCAACATGTAGTATAAGATAAGAATTCCTTTATTCGTCCCACAGTGGGGAAATTTTGATGTTGCATCGCACATATAGGACAGTAGTAAGAGCACACAGGGAGCACACACAATATATACACTATATACAAACAAGTAGTAGCTATGTTTCTTAGCTAACATAACTAGCTGTAGATGCTGAAAATGTAGCTTGTATGAATCTCTTTCTATCAATGTTTGCATGTTCATATCAATACTTCAAAATCATTCCTGGTCATATCCCCGTTATGCCCCGAAGGACAAAACATATTTGGGACACAGACAGGTTGAGAGTTCAAAAATCACCAAGTATTTGTTGTAAATGAACTCTTTATTTTTATGTAGATAAATAAAATAAAAATACAGGGTCCAGATCCAATGTCGGCACCCTGTATTTTTTTTATTTATCTAACTAAATACTAATGAAAACCCTAATAGCTACACCCTCACCATCAAAAATGTAACCACCGGAAAAGTGACACACTGCGGTTTTAAATGCACTTATAATGCTCTGTTTGAACATGTATTTTTACTATGCTTTGCTGACATAACATTGTGTGTGTGTGGTTGTGTGTGTGTGTGCGCACGTGGGAAAATTTGCTGTATTCAAAATGAGGCAATATTTACCCACGCACAGGAACGACCATATATGGGCCGAGTGAGAAATCCAGGTTCTTTAGAAGAAGTTAGCATTTTTCACTGAGTCTTATGAAATATATATATTGGTCCTCATGTCCTGGGCCCTTTGGAGTGAGAGGGTGGAAGGGAGGGGTGAGGGGTGAGAGGGGGGAGAGCCAGAGGGTGAGTAAGGGATGAGTCAACTTCCCTGCGCTATAAGACATACCCTGATGATGGAGTCTTCAGTGGTACTCTTCCTCCAGCCAAGGTACAAGGTAAGACCATTACTACTGTCTGCTTATAGGACTTCTGTTCAGACTGTAGTACTTACATATGTGTACTTTAGGATTCTATAGCAGTGTATTACAGCATGTTTTTGTGACTAAGTAGTGAAAATTGATTCTCATGACTAGACCTCTCAAACTACTGGATACAAAATGTATGCATCCAGAGCAGGTTAAATTCATTTCAAATCTTACATTTCGGGTGCATTGTCGGTTGTAATATTAGATTCAGTACAGTGTTTTCCTATAATAATTATAATTACTTCTTGTTTATGTGAGTATATGATATATATTTTAAACGAGGCAAACGCAATCAACATGGAAAACTTCAGAATCAAAGAATTTCAATGTCTGGGGAATAGGAAAATCTTAATAAATACAAAAATAAGATTTGAATAGTTTTTAAAATGTGACAACATTGTTCCATGTGGAGAATTCTAGCTCCATTTGTGATAATATCAGGAATGATCAAATGATCATTTAGACTGTGTTAAGTTGGATTGTTGTTCTAAAAGCAACATTAAACAATACACACTCTAAAACATAAACATGTATATTCAAGATCATGTATAAGTGAGCAAATTCAGAAATAATGCATCAGGATCACAGGTGTCTTTCCAATGTTCTATTAGACTGTTATAATAATATAATTTCAGTAGGCTCATGAAATTCATTAACTATAAAATCGATATAAAACAGGACATTTTCATTGTGTATTACTTCTGTTTTCCACCAGGATTTATTTATACTGCTATCCTCAAATATTACAAATTGATGCCAAAATCAAAAACCGGAAGTGTAGGCGGAACCAGAGTCCAGGTGACATGGCTGACCCCTGATTTCACGATCAAATCCCCAGTTCCAAAGAATCTTTGTCCTGTTGGCACAAACAAAGTATTCACAGGTGCTCGGTGTCAAATATTTACCAACACAACTTTCAGTTTGTAAACAGTATATATCAAGAGCAGAGGTCGGGAACCTTTTTAGCAGAGAAAGCTTTTTCGAAGCATTCTTTAAAATGTATTTCTGTGGTTTCATAAACTTATTTAGAGTGTAATTTCAGAGCATGGAACAGAGCAGAACTGAAACTCACTTTATGCTAGGTTGTTTAGCATTCTCCAAACTTGTACACTGAGTGGTCAATGGACACATCATAAAAACCTATCATTATTTCTACAGGTGAATGACACATGCACAAGTGTTCATTGTACAGACTGATTGCATATCTCTAAAATAACCAGTGAAATATTCCAGCCTTGTCTACACCTTAATTTACAATGATAAGTGTTGTTGAGGATGTTCCTTTGTGTTGCAGAATCATGCAGTTGCTTCTGTCTCTGCTCCTCCCGCTGCTGCAGATGCTGTCCCTGATGCAGGCGGCCTCTCTGCCCACAGATGTCAGGGGCCGATCGTTCATGAAGGGGATCAACATGGCCGATCAGCTGCTGCATAAGATCAGCTCCGTCCCGGTGAGACTGCACACTGAAACAAGAGGCTGCCCTCACATTAGTCCTGGTCTCAGGTCTCTGTCCTGTAGTCTTCTCACATTAGTCCTGGTCTCAGGTCTCTGTCCTGAAGTCCTCTCACATTAGTCCTGGTCTCAGGTCTCTGTCCTGTAGTCTTCTCACATTAGTCCTGGTCTCAGGTCTCTGTCCTGAAGTCCTCTCACATTGGTCCTGGTCTCAGGTCTCTGTCCTGAAGTCCTCTCACATTAGTCCTGGTCTCTGTCCTGAAGTCCTCTCACATTAGTCCTGGTCTCAGGTCTCTGTCCTGAAGTCCTCTCACATTAGTCCTGGTCTCAGGTCTCTGTCCTGAAGTCCCTCACATTAGTCCTGGTCTCAGAGAATAGACTTTTGAACACACGTCTCTCCAAGACCTGCACCAAAGTACATCTGTGACATTTGAGTTGAACACTTGTGTAGGAATGGTGCTACCTTGTCTTGTCATGAATGACCATGTGGTTGTCCCGTCAGATCCCAGACTACTTGAAGACCCCGGTGACTCCCATGAACTACAGCCTGTGCTCCATGATCCACATTCTGAAAATCTCTGCTGACCTCATCGCCAACATCTCCAAACACACAACAGAGATCAAGACAGAGATTCACGATCTGAACAGATTCATGGAGCAGTCCAGGCTGTGCCAGTGTGGAGGAATCAAACCCCAGATCTCCAGGGACCTGCAGGAGCTGCAGAGTAGGGCCCGCTTCTCAAAAACCGTCACACCAAGAGTCTGCTATCTGCTCACAAAGTACCTGACAAATATGGACCGACAGGAGAGCTGTTAATAGACTGTTGAGCTCCGTTCATGAAGGCTTTGGCTCAAACAGACTCTGGACCCTCAGACTATGAGGTCAAAAACAGAGCCACTTTATAACTAAAGTATTGCGACTGAATTTGTTTCGGGAATGTTGTTGGCTCCTGAATCCAAGATTTATTCTTTACTCAACAAAAATTCTTTACTCATCAACAACTTGTTTTGCCTAACCCTATACATGGCTTCTCACAAACATTTCCCTACATTCTTCTTACATCTTACATCTTTAGTGGGTTTCCACCAATGTCTCACATTTATGGAAAAACTCTACTTATTTAGATCCAAAGTTGAATGTAATTTCACACTTCTACCACTACAGGGTGGAGTTTTGATTGTTATTATCAATTCAAAACACTGAATCCGTCAATCTGATATGTCGTAGGCAGAGCTGGTTTTGCCTTTTAATGAAAAAGGCATGTAATAGTGCATTGTTTTTTTATAGCACTTTTCTGGACACTCTAAGACGCTTCATATAGTATTCTTTCCCTCCATACACGGGGGTGATAAACCTCTACTGTAGCCACAGCTGCCCTGGGGAATACTGACAAAATCGAGGCAACCAGTATGTGCCATCAATCCCTCCAATCAACACCAACCATTCACAAACACATCAGACTCATTCTAGACAATATGGGTGCAGTGCCTTGCCTAAGGACACAATGACAGTTGGGCACTTACAGCCGCAGCTGCCCTATTGTAGAACCTGGTGTTCTCAGAGGTCTCCCATCACAGTATTAACCAGGCCCTGCCCTGAGGTTCTGTCGTCCAGTTGTGCTCATTAAATATTCCAATAGGTTTCAAGACTTTCAGTGAAACAGGGCGATATCTTCCACGTCCAACTTCTGCCATTTCTCACTTCATTTCACACAAAAAAGGAAGTGCCAAAGTAAAGCTACAATATGATGTTTTATTACCAAATTAATGTTTAATATTTGTATTTGAAAGAAAAAGTTAGTTCGGCAAAATATGAAATGCTACAAAATTGCTGAATCTTGCTTTTATTTGCACATATAGTATCAACTATTAAGCTTTTTGTTATTATTATTTAATATCATGCTTGTGTATTTATTTATATGGAACGCAGTTTGTATGAATCATGATGGATGCTAATATACAGAGTCAGCCCAGTGCGGCGCCACAACAGCGAGCCGGGCCTCAGGAAATTATTTTGGACTTGAACGCTGCTCTTGTGCAATATGTGTAAAGTTGTACAAAGATTGAAAATATGTCTTTTATATTTTAGGACTTTTTATATTTTGTATCTACGAATAAAGTTTTGCAATAACACTCAGTTGCATCTGTTTCCATTGTGCCATATGCTTTCACCTGTGGGTCCTGGCTCTTGAAAAGGTCTGGTTGGATCTAACAGGCAAAAACCATTTATCGTGATTTTTGCAGGATTTTCTGAGCGGGAGATCGAGTCTGCTAAAATACTAACAATAGAATGTATTTAAATGTCTATTTGATGTTTATTGTTTGAATTACTCTATAATAATAACCTGGTTGCATAAGCCAGGCATATCAGGCCTGCAAGACCATTTCTAGTGGCCCCTGAAATGTTTTTCAATTATCTTGATCACAGCAACTTGTAGAATTGATAGTAATGGGACACTATGGCAAGTTATACTTCATTTTAAAGCCTCAGGTCTCAGGAAAATGATAACATATAATCAAATTTATCTAAAATGTTTACCAACATATAATTAAAAGTTCAATGTAAAAAATAGATCTTTAACTTAACTACCAGCCTTCGAATACATCTCTTCTTGATATTTGGCCCAGCAGTGGTTGAATAAAAACTCTCATGCAAATTTTACACTTCTGGCCCCAACCAGCTCTTATGCTTGTAAAATTGGCCCCTGCCCAAAATGAGTTTGACCCTCCCCCCCCCCCTATTATCCCTAGACTACAATCTGACTTTTGAGTTACCATAGTTACCAGGACGGATTGTTCACTTGCCCTCCACCACAATGTCAAACTATAGGCTCTTTGGAATGTTGTGACATCACACGAATGCAACCTATTACTCAGCTTGCCAGGCGTTTTCCAGGAAGAACGTCTAGTTTCAGCCAATATTGACTGTGGGAGCTGTCTGAGTGGGTGTCTTGGGTGTGCATGTGACCTACTGCACATCACCGCATGGCTTTAGAATATACCATTTATTACTTATGACAAGAGGAGGGACAGCACCGGACAAATAAAATTCAAACTGTACATCTTTTCACGCATCAGGATGACATCGAGGTACGGTTAAAAATACAGTATTCATGCTCTGGATTAAGCTCAACAGTATAACGGTGGCAGAGGCAAAAGACTGGGCCCGGACAAAACTGAAATGAATGTGAGGATCAAGTTCACCGAGAAAACGCTAACCATGCCATTCAGCACGGCAGCATGGAGAAAAGAGAATTGATTTTATGCAGGACATTTAGACATTTTTTTTATGAATACGGCAAATACAAATAAACATATTCTGGTTTTAATTAAATGCGAGTCATTTTCTTCCGCTTTATCTGTTGCCGGGTCCCTATTCACACACACTCCAACGTGTAATGAAATGCCTAAATTAGCATAAATGTTAACATGTATGAGCGTTTAATGACTCCCTAATGTAAAACTTTTGTGACATTTCCCTGAAAACTCAACAATAAATGTCAGGAGGAAAAGGTTCCAGTTAATATTACTACAGAATTTGTCTTTTAGTAAGAAATAGCAATTACCACAAGTATTTTTGCTATGTACAAAAGTGTGTGTGAATATAAAATAAATATCCTTAAAAGTAAAAAAAAAAAAAACAGTCTTCCAGCACAGTTAAGACTCTGCTGGATTTACACGCACACAAATGAGTCTGTTTCGGTCTCAAATCTGAGCAATTAAGAGATTTTTTTTTTCCTTTCTACGAGTCGAACCACTTGCTCCTCTTGGCCATATTGTCTGCGCTCCCCATTAGCTTCTTCTTGTACTGCTCCACCAGGCTGTCGAAGCGGTCCGTGCCCTTCCGCTTGAACGGTTTGCCCGCTTTCAACTGCGGAAAAAGCAAAAATCCATCAAGATGTTTATTTCCATTTTTTTACATGACCGAAATAACAGACAGTTCAGACAGAAAACAAAGCATAGCCAAAAAAAATCTAGAAATCCTAGCCCATTCAACAAGACGATTGGAAAGCACTACAATAGAACAGAAACATACTACAGTATCGTAGTATGGTAAAACACAGGACACATTATTACTTATTTTACCAAAGGGGCGAATGTTTTGGACGGCCATGTGCTCTTGGCTGGATAATTATACAACACATCACCACTATTGAACAACAAAAATATCGACAAAAAAATAGTATTTTGTGGAAAATAAATGCAAACCAGTACAAATCTTGGACTGAGCTACGAGCAACCAGGTTTAGCCAGGACTTAACCAGACTTTTTCTTCACAATTATCTAACAAACAATTATCAAATCTGTGTCAAAATGGTTGAAATTTAAAAAGGTTACATTATGCGTGTTACAGCTTGTACAAAAATCAACATTGGAAAAAGGGATAAGCTAAAATGTCTTGTTTTTTCACTTCAAAAAGGAGAAAAATATGGCTACTGTACTTTGACCCATTGGAAATCCTCATAAGATATTTAGTTTGTAATTAAGGTGAGCATCCCTATTGAATAAGGTTTGCATATTAAATGACAGAGTTTCTGGATGCCTTGAGCAAAAGAAAAACAAACTAATTTGAGTAAATGACAAGAGGAGATAATTAAAACGTGACCAAAAGTACTCTGAAGTATTCTCAGCGGATGTGCAACTCCAAAACTGTCCACAGGATGGTGCCAGACTCCACTCTCACCTGTTTCCTGCTCTGGGTGGGCTTCTCCATCTGCTGCCTCTTCATCTCCTTCCGGCTGGGGCCCGCTCTGGCCTTCTTGGGAGCTGGGGCAGGTTGCTTTCCTCGGTCTCTCATCCTGGGAGGAAAATACAGCGTTAGGATTGGTTTATTTTAAGTCTCAGGTGAATAGACCATGAAGTACACTCAGTAGACATGAATCCAGGTGGAAAGATAATCTTGTGTTTTCCAGTTAAATATCTCTCCAGCTCTTTGACCTGCTGCAGACTGAGGGAAGAGTGTTCTGAGCAGTTTGGGCGACAAGATTTTGGTTGTTTGTCAAATGTTTCATTAGTCTCGTTTGTGCTGATATGCAAGTCATTCTCAGCTGGTTAATTACGAAAGGCCATTCATGACAATTTATTCTATGTTTTCTATATATTGAAGATTTTTCCCTACTTAAGATTTCTGTACAAAAGGCCTATAACAGATTATCATTTTGTGGTGTATAACCTTGATACTAAGCTGGCAGGTATTAATAATTTTGACGTAATGAATTTGCAGCATTTGAATAATCATCCTGTGATCATTTGAATAATCATCCAGCCCACTACAGTCCAGACCACTTTCCTCTTGGCCCTGAAGCCACGCACAGAACTGAAGCACAGGGAGACAGCAAACAGAAGAATATGCCACAATCAGGGGCATTTTAAGGAGATCAGGGAACATGTATTTAATAATACTTAAAACTCCTGAAGTATTATTAAATAGCAAAAGTATAAAAAGCTTTGATGAATGATTAAATGTAAACATTACATTCGTGGAGCATCAAATTAACATTCTTTGGATTGTTATAGTTTGATGCTTGTTCCTCTTTAAAAAAAAGTTTAAACAAATAAAATATATATAATAATATATATAATAATATATTCATTGATTGTTACACGCAACTTTAATATTAAGACCCTGCTTTAAGTTCAGTAGAAAAGAACTCTGTCTTTGCACTTTAGAAGTTTCTATTATGATGCTAAACATTATGAGCATCAGGCTAAAGGGACAAAAGTGTTCAATGATACCAGGGAAGATACATAAAAATGCATTGTTGGATTGGGCTTGTTATTGGCACGTATGGCTACATTGTGACAAGGATTACCACGATTACTTTTAATTCTAAAAATAAAAAGTATTAAAATAAAAAACCATTATGAGCATCGAATTGTAATTTATTGTGTCACACAATATATTAGTATCATGAGTCGTATTGCGTACCCTTGTATTGCAATAGTTATTGTTTCATGCCCTTGGCCTTTCGTTACTGCCCTACTGTACAAATGTTATTGTCCTATAATTAAAATGTATTCTTTTAACACGGTCTTCTTATAAAAACATGTCAATGCTACTACTAAAAGTGCCCCGTCTATTGGCCCCGACTTCTTCAGAAGCCTCACCACAAACTGGAAGCGTTTTCTGACCTGATCTTTGGCCCACGGTGAGACGGCATGGCCAGAACCTTTCTGCGCTTCTTCCCGTTCTCCAGGTCCACGTGTTCCACCTCTGGCTGGGTCTGGAAACCCGAGAAGAGACGCTTCTGTCCCTGCTGCTGTCCCTGAGGCCCCTGCTGCTTCTGCTGAGCCTGCTGTTGTCTCTGTGGCCCCTGCTGCTTCTGCTGAGCCTGCTGTTGTCTCTGTGGCCCCTGCTGCTTCTGCTGGTCCTGCTGTTGTCTCTGTGGCCCATGCTGCTTCTGATGCTGGCCCTGCTGTTCTTTCTGCTGCTGGACAGGAGCTGGGGGACAACAGTAGATATCAGAATTAAGGCGTGTGCATGTGTGTATGCGTGCACTGGTCTGGTCGATTTAAAAGAACACATACATATAAAGAATAAATACAGTTATATAGATATAGATACAGTTATATAGATTGTGTATTACAACTCAATTTCAATAAACCTGGATATACAATTATGACATCACACAATTAGAAATCCTATACTATGGGAATTAACTCTTGTAACATACAGTACAGACCAAAAGTTTGAACACACTTTCTCATTTCAATGAGTTTCCTCTCTTTTCATGACTATTGACTGTAGATTCACACCAGGCTGTGTAAGGGCTGTTTGACCAAGAAGGAGAGTGATGGGTGCTGGACCAGATGACCTGGCCTCCAGTCACCGGACCTGAACCCAACCCAGATGGTTTTAGGGTGAGCTGGACCACAGAGTGAAGGCGAAAGGGCCAACAAGTGCTAAGCATCTCTGGGAACTCCTTCAAGACCTCCTTAAGGTCACTACCTCTTGAAGCTCATCAAAAGAATGCCAAGAGTGTGTGAAGCGGTAATTAGAGCAAAAGGTGCTACTTTGAAGAAACTAGAATATGAGACATATTTTTTACCTTTTTTTGTACGTACATACTTCCACATGAATTAATTCATCATTTTTATGCCTTCAGTGTGAATCTACAATTTTCTTAATCATGAAAATAAAAAAACTCTTTGAATGAGAAGGTGTGTCCAAACGTTTGGTCTCTACTTCCCTCTGAAGTAGAGACACCATTAACTTTCCTGGTTGTACTTCCTGTACTTTTCCATATGATGGTTATTTACCACATACGTATTCATATTACAAAACCTGTATCTTTATTATGTATTGATCCCAGGAGACAATCCCAGAGCAGTTCACATACAGACAACAATCACACAGTGAGTCAGTCCAGTCCATTCAGAATACAATGCCATTCAAAATAGAGATAAAAACACCATCACCAAAAGTTCCAAAGTTTCACTGAAGGCAAAAAATATTTCATCCACTTCTTTTTTCTGTTGTGGGCATTATTAAAACGACACCCTGAAGGCATCGTCACAAAGTTAGTAATCAGAGGCTGTTGGGGCTAACCTGGCAAGAGCCAGATTGATGATTGTGTAGAACTCTAATGCGTTCTCCACGATATCAATCTGGGACTTCTGCAGGAGAATCCTTTCGGGGAAAGGAGGGATAAGCAGCAGAAGACTTCAAGCTGATTGGGCGAAGCTATGCTGTGTGCCCGCCTACCAAGGTTGCCGTCCAGAAATGCACAAAGCGCCTCTCGCTGTTCATCTTTCAAAAAAGAAATTGGAGATTCTGCTAAAACTGACTTGATAGCCTCAGCTACGCGTCCGTCCTCCTGCGTAGCCATGTTTGTTTTGCTTCGGCCCGGCACTTCTTGCTTTTGTCAAACCTGGATATCCCGCCCTAAACCCCCAGACTGGCGCGTGATTGGCTTGAACACCTAGATGTTCTACTCGAAAAGGGTTGGCGGGAGCGGGACAAGATGTATTCTAGAGTGTTTGTGAACTCACAAATACCGCGAGAATTCAGCTTGCAGGCAAGGTTATGTTGGGGCAGTGCCACGATACACTTGGCTTTTGTCCCATCAGTTCCTCCCACTCTCTGTACTGTATAGGCAGGTCATTGAACCCGTAGATGAATGGAAAAGAGAGAGGAGAATTCCACCAAAGGAATAGTAAAAGGTGTTTATATGAAAAGAGTTTAGTTTTCCTAAACAGAAGGCACGCTCTCTGCTGTCCTTGTTATATAATACATCAATATTCAAGTTACATTTCCATTTGTTAAAAGGTGGTGTCTGATGTATGTGCACGAAAACATATAATGCCACATACCTCTTTCTTTGCCCGTCTGTTTTTCTCCCTGTTGTGGCGGTCGATTATGGACTTGATGCTGGAACAAAACAAAACTTAATAACATCGTTGCCTGTTTAGACAAATATGAGGACTTTTTTTCTTGTACGTATGAGGATTTGTTAATGCCCACCAGGCTCCTGTGTTTCATGTAAATTGCGGTGAAGATTCCACTTCCACCAGTAGATGGGGGTGTTGCAGGCTGTTGGCTATATCAGACTGTGTGGAATGGCTATGTTGTTGCTAGTAGTAGTAAAAATGCTACCAAAACCAATATCATCAAATATTGTGGTAATAATCATACTGCTAAAGGTGCATAGTTTATATTGACTTATACCTTACCTTATTGTTCTGCTTTCTGGCTTCTTTCATTTTAAGCTTACGGGAGTCTTCTAGGGAAAACTCCACAATGGGTCTCTGTAAACACGACATTCATTTCATGTGAGTAAACCAATGTTCCCCTTTGAAGTCCGTTCCCTGCAGCAGAGTGATTCTATGTACCTTGTTGGGCCCAAAGATGTCGGGGTTGTTGTTGAGGTGGCGCAGGGTGCTGAGGGCGTGGTCGTGAAGAGAAAACTGCACAAAGCCGTACCCCAAAGACTGGCCCATGACCTGACCCTTCTCCGGCTTCCTGTCGTACATGATGCGGCACTGCAAACACAAGCGAGAATGTCCAAGATCATAAAAACTGTTTTCTATCAAGTTGTGGTCACGATCTAAGATGAACTACAATAGACGCTGCACTTTTGAGCACCCCTGTGTGTTTTGCTAGTCCCATTGCAGAAAAAAAGCCCCAAAGCCTGATGTTTCCACCCCCATGCAAAAGAGCTTAGTGCTCTTTGAATGCACTACCAGGTCTCGAGATCTCAAACCCTATTGATAAGCTGTGAAGGGAGTAGAAAGAAACCCTCTTAGGAGGAAATGTTTTACGGCTTTGGATAGATAGAGATGGATGTTTAACTAAACACATTTTCCACCATAAATTGCAAAGACATTTTTAAAAAATATGTTTTTGAGAGATCTGATTTTCTTACTCATTTAATCTCTCATAGTTGAGAGCCACTGTTCTCTGAGGTGGCTTGCAAATTTGCTCCAGAAGCCTCCTGAACGTCTCACTTTCTCTTCATCCAAATACCATAAACAAGTCTTTTCCTTATTGATGCCGGTGTTCTGACCGCCATTACAAGTAGGATCCAAATTGGGCCATAAAGTCCTCAACCTGGGGTTGTTGCTAATGCGTACAGGATACAAGCACTTAGAGAGTCTGAACAGTGTCACCCATATTTATGTTTCATCACTTGTAGTGAATATGAAATACATTTACCTCAGTAAGAACACATAAGCACACGCGCTCTAGACCCTCTGTTTTATCTAATCTAACGTCACTATAATGTGCTTAATGCTGCTTTACGCACCTTGTTGACATTAATAGGAGAAGAAATTGCTGTTATAGCTCGACTTTGTATTGATCTCATGCTTTTCAGATTAGTGCAGCTCTTGATTCACCAGCACCATTATACATTGTTTTTCTGTGAGTTTCCGTTGAATATTGTGCTTAATGTATTTATGTCCTGGCCTAATTCAGCCAGAGGAGGGCGCTGTGTGCTCATCCTTTAGTGATCCCCAGCCATGCTATTTGAGTAGGAAAATCTGAAGTCTTTAAGAACGACTCGGAGATGCTCTCCTTAATGTCCCAGCTCCGTTAGGAGCAATAAAGACTAGAAAGGAGGTATTTTCCCTGGATGAATTGGAGGAAGTGTCTCTAATGGGACTGCTGCCACCAGATCATTTGGAGGAAAAAGGTTGATTCTCTGTAAATTCTCTCAGCTTGTATTTATCTGATTGTAATACATTTTACTGTATAATGTATCTAGGCCAGAGTGTGTGCGGCCTCACCTCAGTGACCCTCACGCCCTTGGTCCCCTTCAGTCCCTGCAGACAGATGCTTCTCAGTCTGTTGTTGTCCACAGACTTGGGCAGGTTGTGGACGCACAGGCGAGTTTTTGACACAAACACGTCCATGTCCCGCAGCTTGGTCCGTTTTATTTCTTCAAACTATGAAAGAACAAACAAAAACAGTGATGCACCTGATTTTAAGATGTGAACTGAAGCAGGAAGTATGTAAAGACATCTCACTGGTTTCTGTCTAACCTTTCCATAGAATTCACATTAGGGTGATCAGTATGGTCAAATATTATGCTCTTTAGTATTAATTTTGTGCTTACACATTAATGTTGTCATTTTAATGTTTTTGATTTAAATTCATATATTCAATAATTTTACCTTCTGCACTTACACTTGGACACATGTAACTGAAAATGTATATATATAAATAAATAAATAAAGCAATGAAAGTGCGCACTCTTGTCCTCTTGGCCATGTCTGCTTCCGGGACACCCTCGGCTGCTTTGGTTCCAGCGCGGATCACTGGGGAAAGAGACAGCGCACAAGTAAGAAAACACTTCTGAAATATCACAAGAATTTGACAATCAGACAGATCAACTATCAACATAGAAAAAGAAAAAAAGTTGATTAACAGCATTGAGTTTCAAGTCAAAGATTTGCATATCCAGTAGAGTGTAAATATTAATATTTGCAGTAACACCTCAGGAAATAATAAGGATATTTATGGTTCAAAGTAGTTCTGAATATTTAGCCACATGTGATACAGACAAAAGGTAGAGCTCTGTAACTTCATAAGAGATAGGATGACTAAAATAAAAACAGAAAAAAGAAAGGAGACGTTTATGTGAAGCCAGGTCGCTGTGTAGAATGTCTTGGATTCAGGAGCTCATGAAGCAACTGAATCCATAAAAATCTACCACTTATTGTTTTGCTGTTTGTGCACAAATATACTTAGATAATAACTATGTTTCCAACAAGATCTGTGTCTTAATTCACAGCATCAGTTAAATGGGTAATGAAATAATGAGTCCATAGAACTTTCGCATAGACCTACAGTAGAAACACATGTAATAATCTCAAACAGCTCGATTTGTTCATGTTTTTGTGCTGAAGAGGAGAAAGTAGCAGCGTAAATGGGACCACTTTGGTGTTGCAGGCAACTCCTGTGAGATCGCCATCACGTGGTTGTGTGTGGGATTACAACATTCTCTTCAAAACTTCGCAACTCTGGTTGGGTAGGTCCAGCGCTACCGCCAACGTAACCAGCGCCGCGCGAGTGTACACAGGCAAACAGACGGGCAACTTACATCCTTCTCTGGCCAGATACAGGTTCCGGGTTCCTGTCTCCACCTTCTTCTTGTTGTCTTTGAGTTTAGACGCCTCTTCTCTGGTCACGGCCGCTACAATCAGCAGCTTTCTACCATCCACACGGATACCTCCAGTCTGACAACACAAAACACAATCCTTACAACAACACGTAACAGTATGGATAAATGTGACTTTATTTGCCTTTATGACCTTTTCAAGACTTTTAATACTGTAACTGGTCTGAGGTTAAGAGCCACAGTCTTCAGCTGTCATTCTAGGAAGAGCCGCACAGGGAACCGCCCACCACCAGCTCTAGGGCTCGTATGACCAAAAGCACTTTTTTTGGATTTTTATTATGTGTATCACAAAAAAACTGATCACCTTAAAAGGTGAAATGAATAGGAGGTTGGGGGTAAAATCCCATAAAACGTTGAATACATTTCTTGCAAGAACACAGTCAAACCCATTTTTACGGATTTCCCATGAAGTCCCAATCTGCCCCAGGTGCAGTAGCAGATTCCCTCTCTGGCCTCGGAGCAAGGTTTAGTGCAACAATCTCTTCGATGCAATATATATTTTATTCCACTTTAAAGCTTTTAGGACATTCATTGTGGTAGTAAAGTAATACCCATTCCTTGTTTTAAAAAGTACCCTGGAAAGAAGAAGCGTTATTAAGAAATAAACTAAATGTACCTCGGCCTCGTCTTGTGCTGCAGCAATGCACTTGTCAGCTGCGTCTTTGGTCTTAAACTGAGCAAAAGCACAACCTGCGGGAAAGCACAGCACGGTGAGGCCAGAGTCCGGGTTCATACGATGTGGCCTGGGTCCGGACAGGTGGGCCTTACCTTTGGAGTGCTCCGTGTCTGGGTGAAGCACTATTTTGATGTAGTTGAGCTCTCCGTACTTTAACAGGGTTTCCTCCAGACCTTCTTCCTCCGTGTCAAAGGACAGGTTCCTGCAGCAAATTAAGAAAAAGACATTTGTTACTTTATTACTTGGAAATAAGGCTGCAAGAGGATAATATGTTAATATAATATTTCATGTGCAGAGTTGAAATACCTGATGAAAATAGTTCTTCCCTCGCCTATGTCTGAAGGGAGGGTTTTCTTTGATTTCTTTTTCTTATTTTTCTGATCAACATCTTCATCGTCATCATCATCATCATCATCATTCTCCTCAGATTCTGCATGAAACCATAAGAAATCATCTTTAATAACAATGTTAATTACCCAGCGGGGGTAAAATCACCAGGGGACATTGCCGTTACAGATATCTATAGATTTCTAAAAGAAATCTATAGATGGGGCTATAGAGCCTTGTGAAACCACATAATTGCCTTGAAAAAAATTTGTCACATTTTAGCTCCTGGGGGTGTAGCTATAGGGACTTTATTTCATTCTTTAGTTCAGGTTTGTTTTGGCTGGCTCACCAGGTCCTTTGTTTTGGTTACTTTGGGATTTTTGTGTGCTGTGAACAGGGCTGGGTTTTGTTTATTCAGAACATAGAGTTCACTCAAAACAAAACAAAAGCTGACTCTAATTCCTCTGGTTATCTCATTAAAGACGGTTGTTAAAGCATATCTTTTTCTCCTGTGGAAGAGGAGTGTGGATACTCACATTTTTATTCCCACACAATTTTGCTTGGAGAGTCTGATTTTTTTTTGGCTAGGATTAAAACGCAAAATCAGGTGCCACTGTAGGGTACCGCTAAAACCAAACCATAGGGCCTCCTCAGACGCAACATGGTTTGGTTTAGTTTAGCAGTTTGTTAGGCTTATTTCCTGGCCTTACTTAGTTTGACCTGGTGGGTCCTGTGGTTACATAAACTCCTGAGGATCCAGACAGCCCTGTAAAGGGTTAGTTTGGGGTCGAACCTTTGTTTGTTTTGGTTGGTTCAATTACTTTGGGCTTTTGTTATTCAGAAAATAAGAGATAACTCAACACAAAACAACTTAAAATAAAATGCTGTTTTTTAAACTCTCTCTGTATCCCAAATATGTTCTGTCCTTCGAGTCGTTACACAGTACATATATAAAGTTCCATTTGTATAACTATTCAATATTTCTATTCAGTTCTTTTCTATGAACCACTGCTTCAGGTTCATGCAATGGTATTCATATAATAACCAATAAGCCAAGAGAACTCCACGTTTGGATTGACACGTCTGTGCCCATATTAAGATTTACCACATGTTCTCAGCACGTGTTTGCGCATTAGCGATGTCTCCAATCACAAGGAAATAAATGTATGCAATGTCCAGGCGCTCCAAAAGGACATCTGCTGAACTCGTGAAAAAAATATGTATATATATAAAATGTACTTTAGCACACACCTATAGGGACTTACCATCATCATGGTCTTCATCCTCTAGTGCACTACCCTCTGATTCACAATCACTGTTCTCCTCCTCCTCTTCCTCCTCCTCTTCTGCCTCCTCCTCCTCTTCACTACCATCGTCACTCTGCTCCGACTCGGACTCCTCCACTGCTTTGGCTTTTGTTGATCTGGGCCTGAACCAATGTTTGGGGTTACTACTTAGTACTTACAGATCAAACTCATAGACAAAACAAAAATTAAATACAACTACTTTTTCTTGTCCTCCACTTGTGGTTTCTTTGCATCATTCGCCTCCTCTTCTTCAGAGTCACTGCTTTGTTCAGCCGCTTTAGTAGTCACTTCCTTTTCCTTGTTACTGCCTGTGGTGGGGATAAAAATTATGCATTTTCAACATAAAAGTAGTCTTCAACGTCTGGTATACTTGCCTTGGGTTTCACTGTCATCTCAGACCTGGCTAATTCTAAGAACTATGTCAAATTGTGCAGCTGTATAGAATTAAAGCTGGGTACCTAACATGATTGTTTCCCTTAACAATACATGTTTCATGTCCCAACAGAAATAGTAAAATGCATCATCTATGAACATTTCAGAACAGAATAAGCCATCTTCATCTTATCAGAAAACATGTTACTGTTGCATACATGTAGAAAGAGCCCTGTGAGTCACTATTTAACTCAATGGGCTGAGAGCTGATTGGCCGAGAAAGGGGGGTTCTCTCTTTTCTCTCTAAAAGATGTTATGAATGTCAAACATTAAATCAAACTGTTAAAGAGCAAGAAACTAATTATGTGGATTTTATATGTTGTTTCTGCTGTAGTTTTAGAGTTTTGGGAGCTCAGCTTTAGTTGTCCCACAGAATAAAATTTTTATAGGACATCATTTAAAGATTAAAGTGTTTTTTTCAGCGTTTTTCATAGTCCTTCTCTGGTCTACAGTATATTTGGTGCTGGTACAAGTGTCATACCTGCGCTTGGGGCAGGCTGAGTGGACAGGTACTTGTCCTTTGCCACTGCCCAGTCCACGGCCACTGGTCGACCTGAGAAACAAACTCTGGATAATGACTTTTTCACTTTTATCAACTATCAAAGAGGAAAGAAGAAAATAATCAGAGAAGATAAAATGAAAATCCATATTTCTTACCTTTAATTTCCTTCATATTCATAGCGGTCAGTGCTTTGGATGCCTCTGAGACGTTTTTAAACATGACAAATGCAAAGCCACGCATCTTCCCGTCTGTAAATGCAATCGCAAAAATCTAAATAAAGCATTCAAACATTAGCACAAAGACATGAGTAGTGCACTACCTGGCTTGAGAGGAATACGGGACTCAAGAACGGTTCCAAACTTGGCAAAACTTTCCCGTAAATCGTCTTCAGAGCACTGTTCCAGAGGTAAAGAACTGGTTATTAGCAAGCACTGTGTTTTCTCATCCTTGGATAACAAAAGGACATTACTTTGGCTTTAGGTTAATTTAAATTCCCATACCTTGAAGCTCAAATTTCTTATGATAAGACGAGCTTTTAATTTGTTCTTCTTAAAACCTTTGTCAGTTTTCTCCTCGACTTTCTTCTCGACTTTATTTTCAACTTTATTTTCGACTTTATTTTCGACTTTCTTCTCTGGTGCTAAAAGACACAAAATCATTTCAAGACTTCCTTCAGTTAATGTTATTTTCTTGAGCCCTGTTTCTCTCCACAGCATGTCCAGGCTGTTTCATGCGCTCACCAGCTCAAGGATTTATTATTGCGCTCTACACTGCATTGGACAAATCCCTTCTCCATAAACTTCAGGCTCCCAGTGTAGGTAAAGGGAGAGCTGTAATCCGGCCTAAAAAGCTCAGCGTTCCCAGGCTTGTACCCGAGAGGACCCGTGCCATGCAACTTTTTCCAAGCCTGAACCCGGCCAGAATCTGGGCTGATGGGATGTGCGCCGCTGGTCTACTGTGTGCTGCTGGATCCTGATGCATGCGCAGCAGAACCATGAAAGCATCTGTCTTTTCAGCTGCATGCTAGTGGGCGTCACACAGAGCAGATCAAACCCAGTCCTAATGTCTGCAGCACACTGCAGAACATCTCATGGATAAACATAATATATGTGTGTGTGAATATGAATTCTAGAAACTTCTCTCTGGATTTGTCTGTGTGACTGATGCACTTTAATTGCAGTCTGGCTTTCACTTTGGATCTGTGTGCAAGGATGCCTGTGTCAGTCCAGGCTCCTGTCCTCTCCACTGGGCCCCACTGCAGTCCAGGTTGAATTTCAAGGAGCAAAGTTCTCTTGTGGTTCCAAGAGCTCATTACAATAAGTCGGGTGATCATGTCATCGCCGTATGCTCCCAGAATCTGGAACAGCTCCAGAACTCCAGTATTTGTATCGACTGATTGCTCTACTTCTGTTCACTTAAAGAACTCACCCAATTATTGAACAATTATTATGAAAGTATATGGATTATTTACATGACAAATGCCGTTACAAATGCCTTTACATTATAGTACTGGTCACAGTGGTCACAGATGTGCATTTTTGGGAGTATAAAATATAAACTTACCCACATTCACATTTGTTATCCCATAAATAGACACTGACCTGGTTTCTTCTTGTCCCTGAGCTTCTTTTTGGCCGCTGTGAGGAAAAGCTTCTGACCGTCATAGTCCTTGACCTCTTTCAAAGCTCGCTGTGCGTCTTCTTCCAGAGAGAAGGTGACATAACCAAAACCTCTGCATTCATCCGCTCCTGGTCAATACACAACATACATGAGTGAATTCATGAGGCTTTTTATGGATTTTTGTTCATGTAAAATGTTGTTGATAAATTAAAAGTAAATAAGAGTATAGACATTTTAGTTAAATAACAAACAACTGAATATTATGGGGAAAAGGAATGAGAAACCATCTCTCCTTCTACAGTGCATAAAATTGTTCCATAAATAACATGTATATCATATGATAAAATAAAAATAGTAAAGTTTGTGAGTAAGAAATAATAAATAATTACTCATATTTGCATTATTATACAACAATATTGAAGTAGGGAGGGGGTATGAATGTCAGCAGTATTGTTTTAAAACAAAAATAACAATAACGATGAGATTGAGAGATTATTTATTTGTTCTACAGTGGGGAATTGTCAGTGTTGCATCACAACAGTAGGAATAGGGAGCACACAAATAATTGAATACCAAATATAGCACAATCTATACTATAATCGATCTGACTCATAATAGTAAAACATCACACAATTATATTCTAAAAATATCTATGAAGTTATATTTACCGTCATTACACCTGAAAGGCCTACATTCTCGATTGACAGACTAAACCAATTTTGGAATGAGTGACAGGAGGCTGGGATTACACTGTAGATATATCACTGCTGTAATGACAGTGTAATAAGAAAAAATACCTTTCTCTTTGACCACAAAACACTGCTTTACGGGTCCAACCTCAGAGAAGATCTCAAGCAGCCGCTCGTTGGTGGCAGTGGCCGGTAACGAGCGTACGAACACTGTGGGGGCAGGCATGGCTCTCCGCTCCGGGGGATAGACAGTTCTGGAGCGGACTAATGAGATATCTAATCCGAACAAGAGCTTTTGTGTGACTGAAATATTACATAAAGTATTTCCGCGTGTAGAAAAGTAGAATGTAACGGGTAAATGTGAACCGTTTCACCAAGAGGAGTTCAGAAATCTGCACGCGTGTTTACATAGGAGGACCGCCATCTTGGATCTGTGATGGACGCATAGAGATGACGTAGTCTCTGCTTTCCGGAAAAACGAGAACTGGCTGTATCCGAATGTCCACACTATACCCTATATAGTGCACTATATAGTGGTCACGCCATTTTGTAGGGGTGTCCCAAGCCCCGGCGATCCAAGATGGCGCCCTATTCAAATGAATGGTTGTGCTCAGTGGCGCTTTGTGACGGCATGGGGGCTGAAAGATTAGCGGAAGTTGCCTGAAACTCGCAAAGATCTATGGGAAACTCGCCTGTATTTGGGCATAGTCTGGTCCTCCCGGTTCTGCGCAGTGGATGATCTCCCATAATGCGTTGCGCCAAACACGCGTGTGTGGGTCTCACACCGGGTCTCACGCACGTGCACAGAGGGGCTCGGCCGCGCTCTGACCAATCAGAGCAGTTCCTCAAAGCGGGAGTTAGAGCGAGAGCCAGAAGAGCAGAGTTTGTGGCACTAAAGTGTGGATTTAAACAAAACCAAAGGATTTAAGAAGAAAAAAAGTTCAGGATGACAAGGGACACTAAAATCCCCACAAAATCCGATCTTTATGAAAGCTGTAGGTTCTCTGTCAGCTGAGGTTGAGCTGTTTTAATATGCATTGAGTTCTATGGGGAAAATTTCTGGGTGGCCCACGTGAATTTAGTCTGGTTCAGTCTGCAGTACCGCGAGAATCCCCTGAGCACATGAGTTATTCAGCGCCAAGCTAGTAATACCCTATCCAGTTAATATAATACATCCATGGGGTGTCCGGATGTCCAGAGAGAAAAAGTAGTGCACTGGAATTTTCCCACAATGCATCTCGAAAGGGTAGTGAGCAGCAATTTTTTAGAAATGTATCTTGAATGATCGGATGTTGAAATAAATACAATACGAAATAAATACAAACATATAAGTAATAGGACTGAGTTCAAATAAATAAACAAAGCAGACAATGTTGCGAATGGCCACAACAGCACACAGTCAGGCTTGATAAAACCACTAACAAAGCTTGTATTCAAATTGAGCAGATTATACAGTATACATTAATTTGAGATTTGTTGTTGTTGCCCTCGGACCACATGTGGATATGTTTTGTAAAAAATAAAATAATAATAAAAGTTGGGTATGTCTTAAAAGCGTAGGATAAAAGCAACTTTAAAGTAGCAATATGTAAGAGTTTCATGTCAAGTCATCATTAAATAGCCTATAATATGTCAAAAGCCATTCATATTAAATCATACCCTTTTCAAATACTTCTATAACAGTGGTTCAGCAGAGATATTTGGATTTCAAAATTAGTTTTACAGCACGTAAATCTTCTTTTAATTTCAATGTCCCGCCCTCCAACATTTTACCAATCAGAAAGTCTGATCCGGGTTGCCAGAACTCACCGCGTCGAGCTAATCTCACTGGTAAAGTAACATGAGGCCACAAAACTAAAAAAACGTCTCAAATCATTAATGACAAAACAAGGAATAAAACTAGGCTTATATCTGGGCCTTTCTGAAAAAGATGCTATAGATTTTTGGTTGTCAAAACTCTTGTCTATTCAGATATTATGTTCCCAGCTGGATTTGTCTGCAACCCGAGTCAGGGAGAGTGGGAGAGGTTGCAGTCGGGTTGCAGTACCCAATAGATCCATGCCAGTACCACGTTTGGCCGGATTTTTACATACCGCTCCTTTCAAAATTTAGCATAGATCTTTGGTCGTCTGCATGATCAATGCTTTAATATGGGGCTCTAATTAAAAACGTATGAACTCAAATGCTTCTAAAACTAACTATGCAATGAAATTTGCAGAGAACCGCATGATCTTACAAATGGCATAATGGGGGAACAATAAAGTGTATCTCAATATTACATTTGAAATGAGGTGAGGACAAAAACACACATCGTTAAATATTTTCAAAACATTTATTACAAATTTTATAAATATCAGTGCACTCCCATTTTCACATCTCCCACAAATGTGCAGTAGACAAAATTGTGTAACAAGTCTAGTGTTGCCCATCTAGTTTTGCATCCACTCTTGGATGATTGGACTATGATAAAAATGGACGTTTACATGGACAATGATCCAGGGACTGTTTGAGATGCTACGACAAAGAAACAGCTGATTTTAGACAAACTGCAATAAACATGAACAAACTTAACCAACTTCTATGTTCTGTCCTCTAGTTTGGACTGAGCAGATAACAGTAGTAGCATGTGCCTCTTGAGTTTCAAATGTTTGCTTTGTGAGTACAGTATTGATATACATTTTTAAAACAAAATTTAACTAAATATTCATACTCTAGTGAAGGTAGTAAACACAAATTCATGAGCAAACCAAAAACTTGCAAAACGTAACTGAACAAACTAATAGTAATAAATCAAGACAAGGAATGTACAGTAAAGCACAATCCAAACAGATACATTAATCTCATAACTCTGGCTTCTTTTTGATACTAACTAAAGAAGATGAAAAAAAATAGTTTGAGGCAAGACTTTGAATGAAACATCTGTTGAGAACAAGACGAGCATAAGGACACATTATATATGGCTTCAGTGATTAGACTAGGTTTTGTTGCGTTTGAGTCCGACGTTGACTCATGGATTAAAAACGGTGTTACGTCTTTAAAAACAACCCCATACAACTCTTAAAGTGAGTTTGTCAGAAAAAAAAGAAGCTTGAAGCACCGCCTACTTTTCCGTGCACGCGCCAGGTCCATGGTCCAAAACGTGCAGGAGAGATTATTCATTTTGATTTAATCACAACTCACCGCTGATGTTTCATGTAGTTCCAGAGAGTTCTAGCTGTTACCCGTCCAGTCACGGCGAAACATTTGGGAACTAACTATTTTATAGATGTCATTTTAAAAAGATAATGCCCATTACAGCTTCGAATATTAAGGGCTGTCTAATATTCGTTCGAATATATAAATATAATTATATATACGAGCAGTGAGCACGATTGCAAATATTGACAGCCCTTGGCATCACTTGATTGGTTAAAGTGGACATCGTGGATTTTGAGCTATAGCTAAGATAAGTCATTTTATGAATTGTATTACTTAATATATCATAAACATTTGAGGCCAGGTGGTCATTTAATACAATTCTTAAAATGTGTAATTCATTTAGAGTTCCATAATACCACTTTAAACCATGTTCTAACAAGGTTAAATGTGCAAATGTGTGTCCTGCCTTTTTTTACATTAAAAATGCAATGAACAAAAGAGCCATTAACAGTGACTACTATAAATTGAAAATGATGCTGTATGACCAGGGAGACGGGAGCAGGGGAGGCTGGCTTGTGTGGGCTCGGCGCTCTGCTTTTAGGGCACTGTGGGGTGCATGGATGGGGCTCAACTGGACTGCTGTGTCGGCTGAGCACAACCTCCTTCAGATGCCCCTTTCTGACGGATGATTTCTCACATGAATGTTGTGCGGCGAGTGAAGGATTTCTGGGGAGCACTTGAGCATTCCCCAGGAGCTGGGGGTCAGCTGTGGACTCTTGTTCTCAGGGGACCTGCGCACTGGAAAATTCCGCTGGCGGAGCCGGGATGTCAGCAGCCAGGGACGCATACCGATTTGAAACACCAAGGACCTGGACCACAGCACTAGATGTTTCGTCACACCCCGAGGGCTCATTGTCCATATCCGGGCGTTTTGGTGTTGAACAGGATCCAGGACCAGCCGAACCATCCCAGACAACAGTGTCATATTACGCTGCGCTCAATGACAAGATTCGTTTGTGTTGACCCCCAGCAACCTCCAGGAGTTTGGAAATCAGTGCCCGTTTTTTGTTCAGCTGGGTAGTGAGACGCAGGACTTCACTTCTAAGATAAGAAATAGATGCCGAAGTTCTGAGGTGAGTCAACTGAGTTCTTGTACCAGACTATTTGTTTCATTATGTTTTTCCATTTCTTTGGACGAGCTTGTCTCGTGGTAGCCACTTCAGGTTATCCCGTATATTTAGCGACGTTGATGAAGCTCCTCTGTAACCTTCACCTGTAAAATGTGCTATGCTTAACAGCCAATAATAAAATATTCAATAAAAGTAGCTTAAAAAGTACTTAGTGTTGTGACCAATTGAACAAGGATATGCATTATTTTATTTCATTATATTAGTTCCATCCTTTTGTACTACATCAAGTATCAGCAGGTGTTTTGATAAGTCTGTTCAGCGTCCATTTGAAAAGTGTCTCCATCATATCTACTTAGAAGCCTATTTGCGTCTGGATTAGAGTCTAGCTTGTAAATGGCCTACACCTACAGAATGCAGAAATTCGTGAATGGCGCTAAGATACTCCTGCGTATGTCTTTTGAGGTGACCCGCGTGCGTAGACTCTTCCCATTTCTTGCCCGTGACGTGGATGCCGCTCTTGGCCCAGTGGTCTATGATCTGATCGACGGTCTCCCAGTTACTCATGGCGTCGTTCTTGCAGTAGAAGAATAGGGCGGGGGCTTTGACCGGAGTGTTCCAGAAGACGTCTATGCCGGTGTTGAAGTAGTCCAGTGTTTGGCGTTTGAACAGGTCAAAGTACGTCAGGCTGGCTCGTCTGATCAGGGACTCGAACTGCGGGAACATGGTCTTCCCCAATCCTGCGGGCGGTAGAGAATTTGATAGTGAAGGAGATAGAATGAGAGAAACAAACAACATTATGCAAGAGGTGATACTGCTATTTCTTTGTTGGGTGGAATAGAACTAACAAAAAGGTGAGTCTTATTTGTCAATGCATAACTAATTACAAATTCACAAACATAAAACAAAACAAGATACAAAAGCATGAAACTGACTTGTGAGGTGAAACCCTCGCTGAATAAAAATATTGAAAGTGGTATAGGGCTTTTAAGTACGTTATTTTGATAGAGTTTTTGCAGATACTTTATCAAATTGTTTAGATTTAAAAATCAAAATAGGTGTTTTTTTTTTTTACATTTGACCAAAACAAAAGGTCAAGTGATGCCTTATCTTTGTAGAGATAACTTGTTGGGTTGATTGATTCAAAAGTCTTAAACGCATTTTGTGCCTATGTAAGGTTCAAGAAGATTCATTGACTATAGGCACTATGTTAGTTGAGAACTATTTATATAATTATTTAGTTGGGATTAATCAATTAACTTGTTACAGCCTTAAAGTCATATTTAGTAAAACCATTCTTATTGTATTTCTGTTAAATTTGTTGTAATTCTGAGTAATTAATTGTGCTGTTGAGTATGGTCTCAAAAATATGTGTTTTTTAAAGTGTTGTAAATTATTCTATGTGCACATGTAAAAAGAATAGAAATGATTGATTAAAAGTGTTTGGACCTTCTGTCCCATTTTTGGCTTGATTTTGAACGATTGTTTTTCATAATCAAATATGGAAACCACTAACCACTGAACATAATGATGTACACAAAAATGCGAATCATATTGTGATTATCATGAAGGACCTCAAAATGTAACACATAAAATCCTATATGATTTTACCCAAAATGTTGGGTAATAGCTAGCCTGGTTGTACCACACTATAGTACAAATTACATTTCGTACGAAGGTCTGGAGGCTCTCCATTGAGCTCCGTTAACAGGTGTGAGGGGTTAACTCCTTTTGCAGATTGAAACGATTGGATCTGAGTTTACTGTGACGTTTGTGAGTCGTTAGCATGTAGCCTAACCATCTCGTTTGCCGCTATTTTTTCCAGCGATTACATTTGCTAAACATTACCCTTGCTCCGGCTTCAATTTCTTGATAGAACCAGACCAGAATGCTTTACTATCGCATTTTTCTCCATTGCCAAACTACAACCTTCCCGTTCGACGCAAACGCTAGACATCACCCACAACTAACTACAACACCTGCCTTCCGCGCTCGCTGATTGGTTGGTCGGTCGAAATTCAAGCGATTGTAATCGCTAACATGGGGACCAGACCCAGACGTTACATGCAGGGAAATGATAATTGAACGGAGTATACGGATGGCTAAGGCCAGGCTAGGTAATAGCTTGAGTCATTGATCACTGTCTACTCACCAGTGGCCATGTGCTCCACAGAGCCCGCCACCACGCTGTCGTACACCTGCCCTCTGATCCTCTGCGTCAGGCTGTCGAACTGTGGGGCGTCTCGGGACACGTGCACAAGCAGCTGGGCGAAGGTGTAAGCCCCGATGGAGAAGGCGTGGACCAGGAGAGGCCTGGTGACAAACTGTTCGCTCTGCAACAGCTCCAAAATCTCGCGGCTGTGCTCTAGGCCCCAGCGAGGCCACAGGAAGTGAGAGATCTGCACAAGGCACAACAAACAAAACATATTATTATTTAAAACAAAATGATCTTAGAAAACTGTCATATATACACGAGACGATAGTAAAATTGTCGGACGATTTTTTTCTCTGTGTAATACCTCACACACGGAGATAAAAAATCATGGGTCTAACCTGGGGCTGTCAAACGATTACAATATTTTAGTTGATTAATCGCATAGTAATGGACGGCACGGTGGCTGAGTGGATAGCACTCTCGCCTCGCAGCATGAAGGTCCTGGGTTTGAATCCCGGTCGGACCAGGGCCTTTCTGAGTGGAGTTTGCATGTTCTCCCCGTGTCTGCGTAGGTTTCCTCCGGTTACTCCGGTTTCCCCTACCACTAAAAATATGTACAATAGGTCTGGCATGCGCCTCCTGTTCGGCGACCCCCGCTCCCATCTCTGTGTGGAGTGAGATGACAAGTGCCCAAAAATAACAATTGTGAACCGCTTTGTGACTCTGAGGTCAACAACACATAGCCTGCGGAGAACGTGTGATGTTATTCTGGGCTTTTGACTGCCCCCTGACAATAGTTTATATGTTCAGTTTACAAATTGCCAAATAGCTGCTTCCTCTGGCCTTCAGGTGCTACTATTTCATTTTGATAACTGCGTTGAGGAGGCTCATGGATCTAGAGGAGAATGAATGCGATGCAGAACCATGGGTCTTGTAATATTGTTGGTATTAATGACCAGCCCGAGTGAGAGGTTCAATGTGATTTTTATTCTGTCCCACGTAGCTACACTGTTATTATACATAGCTTGTCTCAGAATACAATACCCAACATGCATTGCGACATTACAGTAAGTGGTCTAGGACATGAAACCTACAACAATGATATTATGACAGAGCTATTTTAATATCCATTATTATTTAGCGATGGATAGATTCACGGCGACGTCAACATAAAATGGAAAATTTGACACTGCTCACAAGGCTCTTTCCTGGTACCAGGCAACAGTTTTTTTTCTAACAAAATGAAGACCATATATTAAACATGTCTCCTTTGACACTTCCATTTACTTTTAGTCCTGCTGCCCTCTCCTGGAACAAGACAGAACAGCGCCATGTATGATTGGCCATAAAACTGATGTACCAATAAACTTTGTAGGACACGAGTGGAAATTCTCAAATGTTTTCTGCTTGAAATACCTAGAAACTTTAATCATTCTTAAAATCCTGAAATTTCAACTCTCAACTTTATAAAAAACTATTCCCATTTTCTCCTCTTTGAAAACAATTAAAATCATGTTGCACACACAGATATGGGGTGTCCAAACTTTCTTCATCAAGGGCCCTATATTCAAACAGACTAATGGGACATTTTGAAGAACTGGGGTACCGAAATATTTAGTGTCACATCATACATGATGATGTTTGTCATCATTTGTCACAGAAAAGAGTCATGTGACAGTGAAATGTTGTGAACAATCAGACCACAACGTGCTACCACCATCTTATTAGAAAACATTGTATCTTTTGCCCTGTCAATCACTATTTGTCTCTTTGGGCTGGAGCTGATTGACTGTGTGAGGGTGGTCCTCCTTTTTTAACCTTTTAACCAAGTATACATGCATGTGAAAACTAGTGATAGATATGAGAGTGAGAGAGGAACCAGAGAGAGAGACCTGAGAGGGACCAGAGAGAGAGAGAGACCAGAGGGAGACACCAGAGAGAGACCTGAGAGGAACCAGAGAGAGAGACCAGAGGGAGACACCAGAGAGAGACGTGAGAGGAACCAGAGAGAGAGACCAGAGGGAGACACCAGAGAGAGACGTGAGAGGAACCAGAGAGAGAGAGAGACCAGAGGGAGACACCAGAGAGAGACCTGAGAGGAATCATAGAGAGAGACCAGAGGGAGACACCAGAGAGAGAACCTTTATTAGTCCCACATTGGGGATGTGCCGCGCTCATACAGGGCAGTTGTAAGATCACACAAAGTAGCTGTAAATGCTTCATAAAAGTAGCAAGTAGTGATTTTCAGATAAGGCCCCGTGAAGAAATCAACACTTTCAGCCGAGTCTGCTGCTGGTACATGGACCAATACTTCATAGTAAATAATTTAGTCTATGACGTTATCCTGGGGCCAACATGTACAATTGCTCAATTTCCATTGCAGCCTCACAAATGTATGAAACATAATATTTGAAAAGGACTTACTCATATAAAAAGATAATTCAAGTATTTCAGTGTTCACGTTATTTGTGAGGATTTATCCAACTGTAGCAACAACTCTTCATCTGTGGCAACCATATAATACATCCATGGTGGCAACACACGAGCAGAAATCAACGGTACAAGTTCCTTTTATGTGTCAAATCAGTTCAGAACGATTGAAACGTCATCGCTGATGTCACCAAAAGCTTTGAGGCAGAAATAGTTGTATGCAGTAAGATATAATTCAGCACACGGGGAGAAGTTTCATGAACTATTCTGGCGGTAAGGAGATCGAAGGTGTTAACATTTCAATATTATCTTTGACCAGCAGAGGGGGTGCACCGTTCCTGGAGGTACTGCAATACCAGGTCGATGCGTGGAGTGGACGGAGCAAGCCCCTATTCCATCTCCCAGTTCCAAAAATCAATTTAATATATGGTCCCCGGGTAGGGGACGTATCAGATATTAAACTGATAAGAACAGATACTACACTTGATCTTAGCCAAAAGGCCGAGAAGCGATAACTACAAACTGTCCGCGGGAGGGAAGCCTTTCTCCGTCAGGACGAGCTCAGTTACGGTGCGGAATAATTTTCCAGAAACCTTTCCTACTTCGAGGACTCAGAGTCATTTTATAGAAGACAAGCTCACGACAGCGCCCACACAAGTGAAATCTGTTATTAGAAATGGATATTACAGTGATACATTTTGAGTCTGGTTTAGTGGGCGGTGCTAACGTTTGGTATTCACGATAGCACGGATCTGATGTCAAATGTTATCACAAACAGATGGAGATTCAGGGGCTGTAGATATCTAGTCATATCAATATGGTATCGTCTTTATATATACGGTTGTTATGTGCTGTATTACTTGTATCATGGTGCCAACCATCTGAACAGTCAAGATCTTACTTCCGGTATGTTACGGGGATCTATCACAGGAGGGCGCTGTGGTGCAGGACATTCAGCCTCGTTCTTTGTCTATCTTTGGTCTAAAAAGATCAGTTAACATGTGTAAACTGCTGTGATGTTTCATGAAGAGAATGACGTCTGGAAAGGGACAGTGCAACATTATAGATAGATAGATAGATAGATAGATACTTATTTTGATCCCCGTAGGAGAAATTCAGTTTAGATGTCCTATGCTCATTAGGACAACTAATGACCAAAAGGACAAATAATGTTAGCTTTTTAAACAGTGTTATTCAGCTATTCCTGTTAGCTGTGAATATGTGGCCCCAGACAATAACAACTACAGCTGCAGGTTTACATGTTAGATCACATTTAATTGGGTAAAAGTTACTTATTTTATGGCGTCGCAGGCTGTGCTAAAACGGTTGTTTCTAATTACGCTAAACTGAGATTATAAACCTGCTCATTTACTTTTACTGTTGGTAAATTAAAAACACACCCTCAAGACATTGTAAAACAAATTCATATTCTCAAATTGTCTCTTTTCCTCCAACTGTAGTTCAACATTTTGTGTCAATTTCAAATGTTTCATATACACAACATGAAAATTGTGATAAATACGTTGCGAGTACTGTAATTTTCGGACTGCCAGACACTACTTCTTTCTAGTTCTTTGATCCCTGCGGCTTATATAACGATGCGGCAAATATGTGTATTTTTTGTGATAGAGTTGGGCTGTTCTCAGAGCAGAGTATGGGCTCTAGCTACAAGACACTCGTCTATTGTCAAAATGGATATCAGTGAATAGGTCAAGGAAGCTAACGGTTATTAAACACCTCATTAAATCCACAAGTGCCAAGTTACAACCATCGTCTATCTGCTACGTTACAACATAAAACCTGCGGCCTGAATGGGGGCAACATTGATTTTCTTTTCAGATATATGTGGTGCAGCTTATATACAGGTGCTTCTCATACTCCAGAAAGATTGGAGCCGACAGATCTGTGGACGCAGATTCAAAACAAGAATATATAGCTATATTCTGGTGGCTGTATATATCTTATAGGTCTCGTGGTGGATTGGAACCTGTGCTCTACCAACTGAGTCACTCACCCCCTATATGTATTTTGAGGCCTATTTTGTTTGTATTATGTTTAAATATATAATAAAAATAAAATATGTGCCAGGTGCGTGTTGCTAGGTGGCGTTGCTAGGGCCAGTGCTTCTTTTGAATCACTGCATCTGTGCAAAACTTTGGCTGAGACACAAACTTATTTTGTCAAACTTCACTCGACCATTTCCACTCAGACTGCTGCTGACCCACTCCTGACCCCAACTACCAAACTTTCCTGAGGAAAAACGTGAGCTTTTCCACTTTCCTTGTGCACCAGTCCCTATGGGCACAGCCTGTGTTACTTCGCACACAGACAGTAGCAAAAAAGCAACAAAGAAAACTTTGATCCGTGTCTAAAGTAGGTTTTACAGAGACTTGAGTATAATAATTATAATTAGTGTAAGAAGTCCTCAAGCTACATGACACTTGTGCTACGGCCGCAGCAGTGATGTATGTATAGTTCCTACATGACGTCACTACATACGGGGATTTGCCGACCCGGCGCCATTTGTGTTGGCATTCTGTTGGCAAAACAATAGAAAAAGAAGCTGAAACGTGTTAATGTCGTGATAAAGTTGAAAATGGTCATCTCCTGCTGGGTCAATGGATGTTCAAATCGTGCCGGAGGTTCCGTTAAACTTGGATTTTACTGTATACCCATCATTAGACTTCATGAATGTGAGAAGACTAAGCTTTTGTCAGAACAACCACGGAGGTTATGGCTTGCGAAGATAAACAGGCAAGAAACTCCCTCAAAACACGCAAGAATATGCTCGGAGCACTTTGTGTCAGGTGCGTATCGTATCTTATAATGTGTTGACAGACGTAATTTACTCAGTACTAACTTGTGTATGCTGATAGCTGGTAACTTGAGAGTTTCATTATTTAGATTACTTTATTATGAGGAGGATCGGTGTCGCGTCCGAGGCTCTCGAGGGCAACGTAAATGTATTAAATAGATAATAATAGTTCTATGGTGGGCTAAAACAATGTTCACAAACAGCATTGCTTCTGTAAAAAGATCTGTGTCATAAAATAAACTGCTCTTTGCGCCTGGAAAAATCAGTTGCCCACCATTCACCAAAACATACGGTCAAAAACGCGGAAATAAACAATAACAGCAATCCAGAGTGTCCGTGTGGCATTAGCATTAATTAAATTAATTGTTAATATAATTAAAATAATTAAATGGAGCTCCAACTGGTATTAAATCTAAAGTTTTTGAGAAATGTTTGCATTGCTTGTTAATTTTGGCTGCATAATTTGATCAAATATGTAAAACATGTCCGTAGCACGTTAAACTGTGGTGCCATTGTATTAAAGGTATATAGGAGGATTTTCTACTTCCGGGTGGATCATTAAGACTATTGGTCCTCCCAACTGTCAATCATTCTGGTGACACGTGCTCGTCCAATAAGACCAGAGAGTTTGGTTTGAAAAGTGGAGAGGGCGGTTCTTTCCTAAAACCTGGGAAAATCCTCCTATACACCTTTAATATACAATTATTTGCTCAAAAGTTGCCCTTTTTTTCCAATTTGCGTTTGAATATCTACATTTATTCTCATTCTTCTGTTTAATGGAATGCACAAACACAGCAGCGTGCCATCAAAGATGGCGTCTCCGAGGAGGTCATGTGACATTCATTGGTCTGTGGGAACTATGTATACTGTTGTCGCTGATAACATTTCAGCCAGTTCAGTAAAACAATTATTCATCACATAGAGATTATGATCCATGTGATTATAAATTAATTAGTCTGTTATTTAGAAGATATACTAACCCTGGCAGACCTGCCGTATTCTGTCCAAATGGTTCTCGCACACATCCACAAGCGGGACTAGCCTGGCTCTGCCAGACCCTTGTAGTTCCGCCATGCTCACCAGAGGCGTTTGACTGTGAAGTGCAGCGAACTACATGGGTCTGGCGAGAGTCAGGCTAAAGCGGTGTTCTGTCGAGTTGGTCTGCCCGTCGAGATGATCTGGCTCAGCTGTTAATAATGTAATGCAAACCTGCCCATGCGCGTCTCACGGCAGCCGAAGCGATCCAAGATGGCGGACATGTAGTCCGCGAATTGCTTTAAAAGTTAAATACGAACGAGTTAAGACAAGAATGTCATTTTTAATGCAATTTGAGGCGAGATGTTGATGGTTCCGCGTTGTGATATGTGTGTTTTAAGAGTAAGAGTGATAAGAATCAGACTCAGGCAAATTGGGATCTTTGTACGACACAGCCTCCTGGCTGGTTTATTCACAAAATGGTCGTTAATTTCAGACAGAACAAAAGACACAGATACATTATATATGGAAATCTACGTCATCATAGAAAAGGCCAAACCTTCGGCACCAAATAGCCTAAACAACGAAAGTCTCTGTGGTCCTTGAGACCTCCACAAGGCCAGTTTCGTGTAAAGTTTGTTTTAAGCAGTCCACTGCTCCTGTGAAACTACACTGCTGCTGTGTGATCGCTGTCCCTGAGTTAACTGCTGCATACGTCAGGCCCATGACGCGTCCTGTGACTGGTCTGTCGGGTTGATAATGGAAATAATAAATTACATTTTATGCATGTATCATACTGTATTCAATATGATTAACAATAGTGTGTTCGAAACAAAATATTTAATTAGATCGAGTTTTTTCCCCATTCTGGTGGGTTTGTGCGCATGCGCAAATCAGATTTGGGCACACTAGCAGTGTAGTTTCACAGGAGCAGTGGACTGCTTAAAACAAACTTTACACGAAACTCTTCCTCTTAAAACGAACATATCACAACGCGGAACCATCAACACCTTGCCTCAAGTTGCATTAAAAGTGGCATTCGTGTCTTAATTCGTTCATATTTAACTTTTAAAGTAATTCGCGGACTACATGTCCGCCATCTTGGTTTGCTTTGGCTGCCGTGAGACGCGCAGCGGTGGTTTGCATTACATCATTTAACAGCTGAGCCAGGTATGGGATGTTTTTCTAAGTGTTGTGAAGTTTTGTTTTACACCAATTAACAAATGTATTTTTATATTGTTGTGGTTCAAAAGACACCTACAAAACTGCAAGACTCAAGCTGCCACAAGCAGAACTAGTGACAGACATACACACAGAAGAGGATGATGAAGAAGAAAATAATGCTAGAAAGAAAAGAAAACGAATGTAAGTGTTACCTGGGAATCATTAGACAGTACACAGGTTGAATATATAAGAAATGAAAGAGATCAAAATATATAGTCATGATGATATGTAATGGATAAAGTCTG